GCTTTCTGGAACAAATTTCGTAAGACACACGTTTTCTTATTCTTTGGCCTGAATTCTACACTACCAGTCAGCATTAAAAGCACGGGGGTAAGGGTAGACTAATAGAGGCCCAATTTAGAAAAATCTTCCTCCAGTCTAGGCTAAATGAACTGCTAATACAAAGAGCTTCATACATCCCAAAGCACACAGATTTCTGCACTGGTCCCCAGCATCAAACAAAACCAGTCACTCAACTGCCTTGAATGGTGACGGCAGGGAGCTCAGTTGACTCTTGAATCTCAAAACTCAGGGTCCTGGAGTCTAAAAAAGTCTTTTAGACTTTTTCCTCAGTACTGTTAAGCACTTTATCTGAAAAGTAGCCTTCATATTTCCCTAGAAAATAAACCTGGAAATCGACTCTTCTGTTTGACAAGTGGTAAACTCTACCTGTGGCTGCTTTTGCACTAAAACCACAATCCATGACACAAATCTAAGATCAACAATACCGAAAGAACAATATATTTTTAATTTATGAGTTTAAAATATAATTTTTAAATATCTTCCCTATCATATTCGTTATCAAGTATATGCCATTTGGCTGGATTCTATTTGGTCCCAATTACATGTTCATCATATTTATTGGTGTGTGTGTGTGTGTGTGTGTGTGTGTGTGTGTGTCTAAGCGTGTGTAAATGTGTGTATGAATATGTGGAGGTCAGAGGACAGCTTGTGGAAGTTGGTTCTCTCCTTGCACCATGTGAGTCCTAGGATTCAGAATCAGGTTATCAGACTTAGTGACAAGCACCTTTAACCAATAAGCCATCTCATCAGCCATAAATTATATTTTAAATAGCCATGTCAAAGGAACTTCCCAAAAAGTAAAAGAAATTTTTAGAATTGTTGAAGAGGAAAAAGTTTATGCCCCCACCCCAGTAACCACAAACATCAGAAATAATGAAAAATACTTCAGTAGGTATTTGGGCCTCAGGGAAAAAAAATGTGTAACTTTCACCAAATCACATTTATAAGCTAAATGACACTATTTCTACCTCTAAAGTACATTATCATTGATTCTTACAATGATGAGTCATTGGCAAATGCTCTCATTTAATACTGAAAAACAGATAAACAAAAACCTCTAATGTATTTCTTAGTGATATAGCAAGGCTATCATAGCAGCAATAAAGCTCATTTGTTAAGGGATGATATGAAAATAGTCATTTCCATTCACTAAATCATTACCCCACAATTACTGAAGAGCTGAGAAAGAGGAGTGTGTGTGTGTGTGTGTGTGTGTGTGTGTGTGTGTGTGGTGTACATGCAATTGTAACCCCTAAATTGTAATTTCTACAATGTTCAATTGTAGAAATGAACAAGGTACTATACCAGAATTGTAGTGTTCAAGCTGTAAAACCACGGACTGGAATCATCAACCTATAAGAGCTCCCACTGGCCTTCTCATTCCTTCAACACTACCCTTTCCATCTCCAAATACATGCAACACAATACATATCCTGTGAAGAAAGCTCTCTCTCCCAAACTGTCTGACCCTTCTCTTCCCAAAGGAAGTAACAAATGGAGATGTCTGAAACATACTAACCACTGAACAGCTAATCTCAGTTACCACCCTTGTGACAGGAATGAGCCTGTCAAGAAGCAGCAGAAAAGGGGAAAATTGAGGAACAGGAGCTTTTAATCCCAACCCCCAGAAGGTGGAAGCAGGATTACAAATGCCATGCCAGCCTGAGCTGCACAGTGAGAAGACCTGACAGAAGGAGGGAGAAGAGGAAGAAGGGGAGAGGACAGGGAAGAGGGGGAGAACTGTTTCTTTTCACCAGTCTTCTTCCCTACTCACCAGTGAAAGTAGCAAAGCTAATGGGATCTACAAAAGCAGTAAGGAAGCAAACATGTCCCCACCCCTCAGACTTACTATTAGCAAAACCCAGCTCCACTCAAGATTACCTTCAAAATTCTCAACAACCCCAGCCTCTAATTGGAACAGCATACCATGCATGGGCTCTAAAAGTTCTTCTGATTCCCAACCCTCTACGACCTCCACACTTTCTGATGATTTATTAAGGGAAGTGGCTTAGAGCAATGATCTCTCTTAATGGTACTTGCACCAAGCCTGCCCACCAGAGTTTGATCATGTGGTTGGGTGAACCGACCTCCTGAAAGCTGCCCTTCCACTTTTGCACACCCTAAATATGGTGTGTTTTAAAGGATCATCTCACTTCAACAGCTGCTCCTTTGTGATGGTTAACATTACTACGCTTAAAGCCAAAAAAAAAAAAAAAAAAAAGCCTCCAACACGTAAGCCCCCCTTAGCTTGTACAGGCTGTACCCTGCCAACCCATTTCCCTTTTTCCCTTTTCCCCAGATGTTGAAGACTGTCCTTAAATTGACTCATCTTGTAAAATCTGCTGTTCTTACAAAATAATAGGTCATAAGACTGTTATTTCTGCTTTTGTAATCAAATTTGCTTACTCTGCTCAAAAAGACAATTACAAAACCCAAAACTGTAACTTCAAGGGTTTTGCCTTTGTAAGCCCGGAGCTGATATGGTTAGAGGTTGGGTCTTGAGAGTGCTCTCAGCCAGGTTTGGGTGCTTGACCTAAGTAAAAAGCCTCTTCTTATTAAAATTTATTCACGGTCATGGTGAATCTGACAAGCCTAGGCCTCCTGTGCCTTAGGATCATTTAATATGTATGTTATGTGCACTCTCTCCAGAATAGCCAAAACCTAAAACTTCACTGAACTACTGTCATGAGAGCTAAACAAACCTCTCATTTATTTACAACATGGCATCATATTTACTATGTGTCAGAAAATCAGGCCTGATATCAAAACAAAACAATCTACATAAACCCTTATCTGATTGCTCTAAGTTCTACTTTATTACATAAAATTAATTTGCTCCCATCTACAAAGAGGTCTAAAGCATTCTAATATGGTTTTTCTAAAAAAAAAAATCTAAGAAATGTATTGAAATACTCAAAGTATTCAGAAGCTACCTTGGGATTTAAAAAAAAATTAGTTAATTCATTTCAGATTCATGTACACATAGTTGCCTACATTCAGCCATAGCAATATATTGAACAAAAATGTAAAATAGTATACAGTAAGACTGAAACAGTTCGGTGAAGAGCAATGTGAGCACCGCGTTTGTGTTCTGTGATATGGCATTTTCAGTTCTGAGCTGTATTTCTCTTTAGAAAATAACCTGGGGGCGGGATACAGAAAGTAACACTATCACTGCAAGTACATAAAATGCATGTTTAACTAAGTAGAAATTAGTTATTTAATATTTATTCTTTCCATTCAGCACAGACACATTAAGTAGTATTTCATAGCTAAATATAAAAGATGCTATTGCAAAATGATTGACCATATGATAGTCCATGATTAAAAATATTTTTTAAAATCCCATTTTAAGTGATCAAATACTAAGCTTTCTCTCTTACTTACAAAAAAAAACAAAAACCAAAAAACCCAAGAACTGTAAACCTATAAACATGGCTGTTCTATAATTGCTATAAGAAACAAAACTATTTACATTGTTTTTATATTTCTTAATTTTATAAGCTTTACTATAAAAAATTTGCAAATAAAAAATTACACACCAAACCAACCAGACTCAAAGTCTATACATCTCAGAGAACTTATGTACAGTTTAAATATCGATTCTGAAGCTGTAAACTTCACATTTGATTTTATATGTTCACTTAAAGGGTTTATTCACCATTAAAAACAAAACAAAGAAATCCACAACAGTATTAGAACTAGAAAAACAATTAGCTTTATAGACTTCTTCATATCTCATGTCCATTACATTGTCTTTCCTAATCCCCTAATATTTACCCTTTTTCTTATTCTCTTTTCTGTTATACTATTATCTACGTGTACATTTGTTTGCATGTGCATGCCTATGTGCATACATACGTGTGTTTGTGTGTATCCATCTTCATATGAAGGAGAATATGCAGTTTTTTTCTTTCTGAGACTGTATAATCTCACTTAGTATTTTACATTCTAAGTCCATCCATTTTCCTGGATTTTTTTTTATATTCTTTGTCTTTCACATCATGTCTCCTGATCCCACCCATTTCCCTCCCTACCCCAAAATTAAAAGAAAAAAAAAAAAGATTTAAGAGAAAAAGAGGGGGAAGGAAGGAAGGAAGGAAGGAAGGAAGGAAGGAAGGAAGGAAGGAAGGAAGATCTCATCATGGAAGCTGCAGTGTGACAGTAAGTCCAATCTCTGGTCTGGTTGGAGGCCTCTGATCTCTGTTGTACCATCAACACTAGGCCCTCACTAGGACTCTTTCTGAGTATCCTGTTGCTGCCCTGTGTCATGGAGATCCTGCAGCCCTGGGTCCAAAGGACTGATCCTCACCGCCCCCAACTGCAGCAAGTCACGGATGGGGTGGATGTTGGGGTGGACCAACACAAACCCTAGTTCTGGACCTGGGTACTTTCAGGGTTGGTCAGGCTGCCAGCTCTCCCCATGTTTGCCACCAGAGTAGGTTCTCCAGGATTGCCCTGGTTAGTTCACTGCTTGCAGCAATGTGCGGAGATTAAGTTTTACTTTTTGTTAGATCTGAACAGTATTCATATTATCCACTCATCTGTTGACTGACAACTAGGATAATTCCAAAGCTTTGCTGTAGTGAACAGAGCAGCAGTAAACATGGACATGCAATTATCTCTCTGGTAGGGTATATAGTTCTCTGGACATGTGCCCAGAAATGAAATCACTAGGTTACATGGTAATCCTATTTTTAATTTTTTGAGAAATCTCCAAACTGATTTCCACAATGGTTCTATATTTGCACCCCCACCAACTGTGGATAAACACTGTCTTTTAAGAATAAACCCAACTTTCCATAGTCAAGTCTACTTGAACACAAAACCAAAAGTCTCATTTCTTTCTTTTTTCCCCTAGCAGTGAGGGAGTGTTTACCAGTGAAGGAAGACTAGAAAAAGAAATTGGAATGCCTTTTGTATATTACACAGAAACTTACCCACTTGATGGATCTAAGGCAATAGCTCTGGGTTGATCCAACTCTTGCCAAAATAAAACTTTTCGTAAAGATCCATCTAAATTAGAAACTTCAATTCGATTAGTTTCAGAATCTGTCCAGTACAATTTTTCTCCAAGCCAATCACACGCCAGCCCATCCGGGGACAATAATCCAGAAACAACAACATTCTGTACACTCTCAGTTTTGTTAAATTCTGTTCGCTTAATGGCTTCTTCGCTGACATCACTCCAGTATATCAAGCCATGACCAAACACAAAGTCCACCGCTGCTGCATCCTCCAAGCCTCCAACTACAATCGTTGCATTCTCTTTGCCATTTGTAGCATCAACCAATCTCAAGTCCCGTCTGTTTGCATAAAGCAACAAAGGGGCCGCTGAAATAAAAAGAAAAATACATAAGAAAGAAGAAAACATATCAGATCTCATAAATTGGGTTTCAAATCAGCATCTGTGACCAAATACTATCAAAAGTAACAAAGTAGGAAATAAAGAGGCTAGAGAGATAGCTCAGCAGGTAAGAAGGGTTCCTGCTCTTGCAAAGAGCCTGGGTGTGGTTCCCAACACCCACATCAAATGGCTCACAACCACCTCTAACTCCAGCTCCAAGGATCCCATGCCTCCTGGGTCTCTGTAGGCACTGTACACATGTGGTACACATAAACTCACACGGCAAATATCCACCCACATAAATAAAAAACATTAGTGAACTGGCTAAAATCTTTTCACATTTAAAATGTTTTTCTAGAACTTTAAAAAAAGAACGTAATGAGAATTGAAATCAATTCCACCCAGATGTCTTTTCTTACTGAGAGTCTGTCAGATACAATTTAAAAGCTTATCCATAATAACAATGAGTAACTGGAACACTCATGCTCTACTGGTGGAAAAGAGCTGCCAGGTGTTTGGTTAGCTGTCCGTTTGCAGAGCTGGTGATCAAACCCAGGGTCCTCCCATATATGAGTACACGTCTGTGCACCACATGCATGCCTGGTGCCCACAGAGGCCAGAAAAGGGTTTCAGATCCCCTGGAACTGGAGTTACAGATGGCTGTGAGCCACCCTGTAAATTGTAATCAGAACCGGGGTCCTGGGCAAGAGTATCAAGTGCGCTCGCTCAACTATCCACCCCCAGAAGTACCCATCCTTTTTAAATCACAAACATTATTCTAATTTGAAAAAAATAAGTGGCTCCCAAAACTACAAAAAAAAAAAAAAGTAATAGTTAAGCCCATTTATAGAACTGCATCGGCCAAATTGGGTTATCAACATGTATTCTAGTCATCTGTTAGATAACATGAATTCAATCCAACCACACTGAAACGCAAATACATGTGAGCATCCGCTTCACTAGAAAAAGGAAATGGTCCTTTCTTCTTACTGTGTATAAATTCCCCTGAACTCACTGCAGATGTGCACACATCACACCCAGTGGTCACTACTGAATAGTCTTATATTCAGGTTTTGATAGTATAAGCCAAACAGGAACATCAGAAAAAAACATTACTATTAGTTAAGAGTTCAATGTCACAAGGCTGAAAACTTGAGGAAAAAAAAAAACCATCCCAGGATACTTAATCTTAACAATTCAAGAGTAAAAACAATGCAGTAGTTAACAGATACCTTCTTTATGGCTCAATCACCCATCAAAGACTGTTTATATACTAAACTTGCTTATGGCATAAGTGGCAGCTAAATGACTTTCATAACTTTTAAGTCAAACTTTAATATTTCCACTGAATGGTTTTTATCGACAAAAATCTAAAGAACTTTTCTGGTAACTTAAAGTCTAGTGGACTTTCTGAGTGTCACTGGAGTTGGAAGAGACCAGAAGCAGATTAATAGCTTTAATTTAGCAGCACTAGTTATGGCTGAGCATTCTGGGGACTGTACATTAACCTGTTAACATGACTAAGGGTTTCTAGGGACTGTACACTAACTGAACATTATCAAAAGGTCCATCTGTGTGGTTACCCTTCTGATGCATGATTAGGGTCTACAACATTGCCACCAGTGTCTGTTGAGTAGTGGAGAAAATTGTAACACAGTTTTTATCTACTAGATACAACAGACCCCACACACTTGTTTCCTGTCAGTAGCCCACATAATACATACCATGTGTTCACTCCACAATGTTTACCTGACTTCATAACAAGCGAATTCAAACAGCAGTCGCATCTCTTTAGCAAACACTTACAAGAGCTCAGGAATCTGTTCTCCTTCACCAAATCCCTACTGAACTTCCTTCCCAAACCTCCTCTTCTCTACAGACTTTCACACCTTAACCCTCCTACGGATGTAAGGGCATCTGTTACCCCACTCATCTCCAGGGTTGATTTGGCTGATCACTTCCCCCACCCCCGGACTGCTCCACATGCACCCCTCCCAAAACTGTGCACTCAGTCAGAGAGGGTGACCTTCACCAAAGGTATAGAGTGGCTGCACTCCCCTGCACCCCCTCCCTTGCTCCAGACAAGCTCTTAGGGTCCATTTAACCCTTCATCCTCAAATCGACTCATAAACACAGTGTCTCAGGAGAAGGGTCAAAGGCCATACATCTCTTTTTTCCCTTATGGAGACAAGGTCTTGCTCAGTAGCCCAGGATGATCTCAAACAGTCAAAATTCTCTCTGGGTCCTCGGATATAAGCAGGGTCCCATCTTCAACATCTTTCTTATACTTCTCAGAAGGTTATCTGGGCCCAGGTGTGATGGCACACACCACCAATCCCAGCACTGGAATTAGAAGGACCCCTGAAAGTTTAAGGCCAGCCTGGCCTACATACACATGCTGTAAGACCAGTCCCTGTTCTCAGTAGAGGGTGGGGGAACGCCCTCCCTTCTTTGTGGGATCAAGCAACACTTTAGGTTCACTCTCTCCACAACTGTGTCTTCAAAGGCTCATGGCAGGCTCAGGTTTCAAACACTATCCAACTCTAACCTTGCTTACTATCAAGAGAATACTTCTCTTTCTCCTAACTACACTCCACACCACCACTCTCTCTAGTAACTTCTTTAACCTCATATGCACCACAACTACACCTGCTTTCTCCAAGGCTTAAAAAAAAAAAAAAAAAAAAAAATCCAACTAACATCCTCTACTCAATCCTTATTCTTTACTCCTCTACAGCATTTGTTACAGCAACAAAGTACAATGTTCTCTCCATACCATCCTACTTACTATTGTCTGTTTCAAATCTTTCTCCCCCTTCTCACATAGTATTCCCAGACCTTTAGTCCCCAAATGAGAGTGTACCCAGATTCTGTTCATCACAAAACTCTACACAACTGGTTTCTAAACCATCATCAACCTAACCTAATACCATCTTCTGTTCCCCAGGCTTTTTTCTGGTAAGGGGCTGCAATCTTTCTATCAATTAACTTAAAATGTATTACCTTTCCCTCCAAAAAAGTTCTTCAAAGATGTTATAATTCTTTGTGGTGTAGGGATGGGATAGGCCAGTGTGTGCAAGTGTGGGATGCCTGCACTAGCCCATGCACGCACTTGTAGAAGCCAGAGGTGGACATCAGATGTCTTTCTGAGATAGGATCTCTCACTGAGCCCAGACTGGCTTGGCAGTGAGCATTACCCCCCATCTTCCTGAATCTGGCCCCCAGTGCTGGGACTGCAGCACACCTGGCTTTACAAGGGTGCCAGGGATCCAAACCCAGGTACTCACACTTGCATAGCAGGCACTTTTACATAAAGACATCTCCCCAGCCCAGGTCTCCTCCTCTTTTCCCTAGTCTGCCAATTACTGTGTAATTAACCCTTCTTTACCATTTCTTTAAATGTGCCCCTCATTTCTAGAACCACTCCGCTGCCCTAGGCTTCATGAGCTCACATGTAAACTACCCTAACAGTGAATGATCTCAACATTCCCCCTTTCCTACGTCTAATATATAGTTGTGCTTCACCCAACTCAAAAGCTTTCTCATTCCCTTTGAGTAAGACATGAAGCCAACACCTCAGCTTTCCTCCTTGAACTCCAAGTTCATCTTTTATAACCTCTGCACATAAAAACAGTTTAACATATAAACTGGGAACACATCACATCACATCACATGTCATCCATCACCAGTGCACTCATTTTCCCACCCTCTCCTACTTCTTTCCCAGTGAGCAAATCTAAGTCCTTCAAGGCGAGATTCAAATCTTATCTACATCTCTCCTCTTCCAGGACTAGGGATGTAGCTCAGTGATAGAACATTTAATAGCATGCACAAAGCCCTGGCTAGATCCTCAGTCTTGCCAAAAGAAAAAACAAACAAAAAAAAAAAAAAAAAAAAAAAAAAAAATCTTCTCCATCTTCCAGAGCCTAATCTAAACCTCATTTAGAGACTGTAAAGATGGCTCAGCAGGTAAAGATGTCTGCCAACAAGCCTAATGACTGGAGTTCAGTCCGAAGAATCCCCAGAGTGGAGAGAACTGACTCCTCCCAAGTTGTTCTCTGAATTCCACATGTGCACACACAGGAGGGAGGGGAGGAGAGGGGAGGGAAGGGAGAAATTTACCATGCAGGGTAGGTAGGCTCCATGGTAGAGTGCTTATCTAGCATGTACAAGGCACTGGAACACATCTCCAGCCCAGAAAAACAAATACATCTACTAAAAAACTTTTAAGTTCCAACCAAGAGTCACAAACGCCCATGGAGCTGCCCACTTTAAATGTGGCCAGGCTTCTATAATCCTTTGAGCTCTGGCTTTAGCAGCCCAGCTTAATTAAGCGATGCAACTCCTTTCCCCTTCCCTTCCTCTCACTCTTCTTCCTTTCTTCTCTAGTTTGCTATTCTGCAGATAGAACCAGATCTGCATATGTTCCAGGCAAGGGTTTACACTGAGCACAGCCCTAGCCCCTGAAAATCCTCTCTTAACCATTGTTCAGAAATCAGCAGACCACATCAAAAGTCATTTGCTAAATTGACCTAAGCCTGACACCTGTTAACCCCAACGAACCTCGTCACCTCCCCAGCAAAACCCGACAGCACTGTCAGCACTACCTATGAAAGAGAGTCCTTCTGTTTGTTTGTGACGTTCCGAAAGATCCCACTATCAAAACATAAGCCTCGGTTCAAGTTGTTTTCCTACATACGCCTGCCCAGATTTTATTCCCATTCAGTATCTGGATGGTGACATTATTGTATTCAAAGAGAATGTCATCCATGGGTGTGTGACAACCCTAACCCAAAGACAGTGCTCTGGGAATTACTTGAATATCTCTCCTGTTCAAAGATGTGGCGAGGCTGTGCTCCTGAGATCAACATTTTTTTTTAAATGTGTGTGTCTGCCTGTGTGCATGACTGTATGCCATGTGTGTCTGCCTGTGTGCATGACTGTATGCCATATGTGTCTGCCTGTGTGCATGACTGTATGCCATGTGTGTCTGCCTGTGTCTGCCTGTGTGCATGACTGTATGCCATGTGTGTCTGCCTGTG